GAAAGAATAATAACACGAGAGGCGTTCTTCTCAGATTCGATATATAAATTCTGACATTCAAATTTTCTCTTTATTTCTTAAGAAACGAGAAATTATCGATAGAGTAATTTCACGTGGAACGTTCGTGTTGGCCGTTTGATTGCCCGTGTCGAAAGGATCAAAATCATTTTTTGAATACTCGATTTATCCAATTACATATATTACATCGAAGTATCGAATCGAAGTATTTATTCCCTCTGAATCATTGGACCAATCGACCACCATCGAATCAATAAATCCGAAAGATCGTCGAACAAAGGTGATACATTGTATAATAATCCCTACATTTTTCTCCGGAGGAATATACGAAGCTTAGAAATATTACGGGACACGTGAATCGAATTCCGCCGTCTCACCGAGTTCAATCGATGAACGAAGCATCAAAGGGGGGAAACGTTACGAAAGATATTGGAGAAATAATTCCAATTTCGGTGGCAAACATTGGCGAGATGGAAGAGAACAACAACAACAACAAGGTGCAGATCTTGAGCGATAGATTTCCTCGGGGCCGGCGTGGCTTCGCGTGAATAAGTAGGCGCGCACAGGTACCACCTGTTACCTCTCGCAAAGCTAAACAGCCGCTCCAATTAGGGGAACGAGCTTCTTTTTATCGCTGTTCCCGCAGCCGGGAATGAAAGGGAAACGCGCGAACAAACATTTTTCTCGTTTCACGGGGCTGCGATAAAACAAGTCTCGGGTGTGACTTGTTTCTCGGGCAGGTTCCTGACCCTCTTTCGTGAAAATGCATCTTGATACGCTTTGTTTTAATTAATCTGGCGAAACAGATCTCACAATTCAGATGCCGACCACAGGCAGGGAAATTACAATTTCGCGACACGCGTATGTCGATGAAAAGCAAATTTCCCAGCTCTTTTAGATGATAATAATAATAAGTATCCAATAGTAATCTAATATCTAAGTATCTCTTTTAATTTTAACGAGTCACAGTTGCTCTTGCTTCTTAATATTGGAAAATATTAAAAACGAACAGAAGAAAAAAGATCCACTAGAGCAGCGGTTCGTAACCTGTGGTAATATAAAATAATATTGGTAATTGGCCGAAGACACCAAAAAAAAAAAGGAGTTAAAACACAGAAGCAAAATTATAGAATTTTGATTTACAAAGACAGATAAAAAAAAAAAATTGAGATAAATTGCAAGATGTAAAATCGAAAGTAAAAGCCTAGAAATGTCATTAGATTTGAATTGTTATAATATGATGATTTGAAGCTGACCTAAGAAAATTGAAAAAAAAAAACTTTTTTGAGAGATATCATTCTTATGAGAACATTCGTAAATAAAAAGTCTAGTGAAGGGGCAGGAGAGAGGGAAAAGTTTGGAAACCTAGCTACACTAAAGGAAAAGAAGAAATACAACAAATTTGCCGTCTTGGCGGAAATTGTTCACATTGGTGCGAACAAATAGCGTATGAACCTGCACCTGCGCGTATGCGTTACACTGTTGCAAATCAGAATATTCTGCCACGAAATATTTCACATTGGTCTCTCGGTTCGTCCCGCGAGGGCAGAAGAGAAGAAAAAAAGGAAGAAAGAAAGAAAGAAAGAGAGGAAAGAGGTGCATAATAGATACAAATCGATTTGTCCAGCAACGTCTGGAAACTATTTTGCAATCCAGTGGCACGCTTTCAGCCGCTAGGAAATTTCAATGAAACGAGAATGGATGGGACGCGTCGTAAATCCGTGACACGCGGTTGCAAGAGTAACACCATACACACTGCGATAAATTGGGAGTATAGTATAGACTCGGCGAGCGAGAATTGCACGTACATACGTGCACAACCGGACACATTGCTCGTCTACACATTGTTTGCACGGATCGTTTCATAAAATAATTTCACGATAAAAGCTTAAACGAGTGGCGAACGAGAACAGCAGATCTACGTACGTGCGTGTTTTCTCGAAAGAGAGAAAGAGAGAGAGAGAGAGAGAGAGAGAGAGAGAGAGAGCAGGACAAAGTTCGTGTGGGGCGACTTCCGTCAAAGAACGTACCCTTCGGCGTGCTTCCGGCGCGGCGTCCATCGAAATCGATCAAGTATGTCACTTTCTATTTACGTTGACGCGCTATACGCGCGGGAACTCGACGATCGTTTGGATCGGTTTGCTTTGCTCGTACGACTCACACACTTGTACAGCGAATCCTGACGTGTAATATATGCATGCACGTGTCCGTGTTGGTGGAGGGAACGAGCAGACGATGGTTTCCATCCAGCGAAAAATCAATATCTTTTCCAGGTGCTGTGCCGCCTCGCTTCAATAAGGGTACACGCCGGTTTTTCTCATTGAAAAAAAAAAAAAAAAAAAACCGACACGTTCACGGGAAGCAATTTTTCAAAACGAATAGCTTGAATACGTGTGTGTGT